CTAGAAATAGAAAATAAGTCATGTCTGGGTTTGGAGGACTCCCTGATTATTCTAGTTATCTTTGGAACAGAGCATTTATGAGAGGCTGTACTGAATGGATGGGATCATAGCTTCCATTCCGTGGAAGGCAGGGTCACCCAGCCTTCCTGATGGGAATGTGTTTGTTGTGCAAGAGTGGGATTGGGGTGATAAGCATCTTGGAGGCAAGAGTGAGCTAAATAAGCCGTTCTCAAAGCCCTTCCCCTGAGAATAGAGCAGGCTGGCTGTCCCGCCAAAGAGCCTGAACATCTTGAACCACTGCAGTGATGGGAAGATTCTGCCATCCAGACAATGGAAACTATATCGCCATGTCTAGCGGAGGACGGGGGGTTGTTGTCTGGCCTCATGAGGTCCTGACAGGTCTGTTTGATGGGCAGGTTAACAACATAGGCATTAGAACCAGGTCCTTCTTCCTGGCTGGGGGATCTTGGGTGAGTTATTAATCTGAGCCGCGACTATTCTATCTATAAAAACAAGACCCAGAATAGTATCTACTTTTGTGTGTGTGTGGCAGAGTCTCACTCTGTTGCCTAGGCTGGAGTGCAGTGGTGTCATCTTGGCTCACTGCAACCTCCGCCTTCCAGGTTCAAGCAATTCTCCTGCCTCAGCCTCCTGAGGAGCTGAGATTACAGGTGTGTGCCACCATGCCCGGCTAATTTTTGTATTTTTAAAAGAAATGGTGTTTCACCATATTGGCCAGGCTGGTCTCGAACTTCTGACCTGAAGTGATCCACCCGCCTTGGCCTCCCAAAGTGCTGGGATTACGGGCGTGAGCCACCGTACCTGGCTGGGCTTCTTTGATCTCCACCAGTTCTCCAGTAATCCCCTTCTCCCTGGCAGTTACATATGGGTGAATAAGTATTTAAGATCCTCATTCTTTTGCAGGGGAGCAGAACACAAAAAAGGGGTCTTTCCCTTTGTCTCCCACTGTACCCTCTGTGTAGCTCCATCATAGCAATTATTTTAGATGGTTAAAATAAAAACAATTTGGAGAATGGTAGGAAGAGGCAGTGATTTATCTGGCATTTACCGTGTACTTGACAACCATTGTCTCACTAATTCCTCATGACGATTATATCACGTACCTACTGTTACTGTATTATTATCCTCATTTTACAAATGAGGAAACTGAATTACATAAATTAAATAAATTGCTTGAGATCCCACCTGGTAGTTGCCAAAACCCTGGGCCCCCATCCCTATTAAACACTTTCCCATGCTAATTATTGTCATCTCTGACACCTGGCTAGCTTGTGCACGCCTTAGGTTGGGTGCATTTTTTTTTTTTTCTTTTGAGACAGAGTCTCACTCTGTCACCCAGGCTGGAGTGCTGTAGTGAGACCTTGGCTCACTGCAACCTCTGCCTCTTGGTCCAAGTGATTCTCCTGCCTCAGCCTCCCAGGTAGCTGGGACTACAGGCGTGCATCGTTACACCTAATTTTTGTATTTTTAATAGAGACAAGGTTTCACCATGTTGGCCAGGCTGGTCTCAAACTCCTGACTCAAATGATCCGCCCACCTCGGCCTCCCAAAGTGCTGGGATTACAGGTGTGAGCCACCACACCTGGCCTGGTTGGGTGCATTTCTTCTTGTTCATTTGTCATTTGGTCTCTATTCTTTTTTTTTTTGAGACGGAGTTTTGCTCTTCTTGCTCAGGCTGGAGTGCAATGGCACGATCTCAGCTCACTGCAACTTCTGCCTCCCCGGTTCAAGCGATTCTCCTGCCCCAGCCTCCTGAGTAGCCGGGATTACAGGTGCACACCACAATGCCCAGCTAATTTTTGCATTTCTAGTAGAGACTGGGTTTCACCATGTTGGTCAGGCCGGTCTTGAACTCCTGACCTCAAGTGATCCTCCTACCTTAGCCCCTCAAAGTGTTGGGATTATAGGCGTGAGCTACCATGCCCAGCCAGGTCCCTATTCTTTAACAGAAAAGACAAGTCACCAAATCTGTTTTAGGCCCTGCAGATGCAGCTGTGAGCAAAAGAGGCCTCACCCATCCTCTTGAGCAGTGGCTTCTAGTTTGAGTGGCTGGTACCCTGGGGAAGGGTCTGGAAGGATACAACCTGCAAGCTCGGCTGGCTGTGGTTGATCTGCCTCTGTCCTCTTAGGTCGGGGTTTCTCAGCCCCACGCTGTAGATGTTTGGGGCTGGATAAAGAAGCAGCGGACCGGTGCATTGTAGGATATGGAGCATCATCCCTGTCTCCACCCTCTAGATGCCAGTACACCCTCCCTTTCGAGTTATGACAACCAGAGATGTCTCTAGACAGTGTCAAATGTTCCCTGCGGGACAACCCCCCACCCCAACCACTGTCACCAGATCATGAAAGCTCAGTGGGATGGGCCTCTCTAAGCCCTAGGGCAACACTGGCTGTGATCCACAGTCCCACTTCCTTCTCTAAAGTGGTTTGTTACGCAGGTCAGGGCTTATTAATAGTACAGACTCGGACACAAGGAAAAACTCTCAGTGATCAATGGTAATGGTGGTGGTGCAGTGGTGACCGTCCCTTTTCAACATTGCCACCTCCCCCTGCACACACATTGTAAGGACACCAGTGGCTCCAGCCGTTCAAGTCTGGGCCTTTGCCTGTGGTGCCCCCAGGGCATGGCATTGAAAGGCCAGGTTCCTGAAGCGTGGAAATGGAAATGTGGTTCCAGGCTGCCTGTCCCAACAGCAGACCCATCCACCTGGCCGGTGGGGATTGATTTGATGGGCACGAGGCCCCGGGAGCATGTTCCAGGCGTCTCTGGAGCATGGACTGCCCTTGAGCACGGAACCTGACCAGGCCTTATCACATCTGACTGTATTTCCCCTTTTGTGATTTGCCAGAGAGCCTTGTAAATCAGCGGCCACTAGCAGTTCCTGCTTTGTGGTGGCTGTTAAGACTCAGAGCAACTTGTTTTTCAAACCTCTAGTCTAATCTTTTCTGTGTGTGTGTGTGTGTGTTTTAAATGTTATCTTGAAGAAGAAAACAGCTAAAAATTTTTTTTTTGCATTGCAACAGGGGGTGGGCGTTTGCCCAGGGGTCTGTTGGATGGGCTGGTTAACAATATAGACACTAAAACCAGGTCCCTCTTCTTGGCTGGGGGATCTTGGATGAGTCATTAGCTAATCTTAGCCTTGAATTTTCCATCTATGAAACAAGACCCAGAATGAGTATGTACTTCATAGAGATGCGAGGAATTAGTGCTTATAATGCTTCTAAAGGGCTTAAAGCACGTACATAGTACGTGCCTAAGAAATGTTACTATAGAAGGATTTGAAGTCACACAGATTGGAACTTGAATCTTGGTCTCTGCTCCTTACCTGCTGTGTGACGTTAACAAGTGTCTCTACCTCTCTGAGCCTGTGTCTGCCTTATATTAATAACTCTGGTTGTCGCAGGTTGAGCCACCAATGTGTCCTAACTGGTCTGGGAAATGCCTGATTTTTAGTGCTGAACTTCCCATATCCTCAGTCCCAGGCAAGCCGGGATGCTTGTTCACACTGGTTATGGGGTTGAAATAAACCATAGCACCTAGCACGTTGTAGGTATCAGTAAATGGAAGCATGCCGGAGGTAGTCTGTACAGTTTGGTTATGTGTGGGAGGTGGTGGGGGGATGTCTTAGCTACTCATTTCTTTCAACCTACAAATGCTCATGCCATTTTCCTAAGCCACAGAACTCAGTTGCAAATTGACGTTTTCTAACCTAGATTGATTTTTTTTTTGTCCTTCTATTTTAGACAGAGAAAAGATTTTGTTCGACTTGCATATGTTATAGAAAATCACCTCTTGATTTTTTTCAGTCTGTAATAACAATACTGAGGGTCGAATAATTAGTAAGGCACGGTAGGTAGTGGCAACCTAATGTCTTAGACTGTGTGGGTTGTAGCGTGATCCCCAAAAATGGGAATAGGAATTATTTGAAACTCATTTTGAAACTCTTCAGTGTGCTGATTCACTGAGTTGGTTTTTCAGAAGTACCTTTGGATCTGATTATGTAAAAGACAAATATTATAATCTAGGTAGTAGGACTGAAAGCTGATTCTGACGAAGGTGCAAATCGATCTACCCATGCACTTTGGCAGTGACTCCCTGTTGCTCTTTGAATAAGATCCAAGCTCCTTCCTAGCACCCAAAGGGAATCCCTGACCTGGCGGCCCCTACACCAAATCCTCCCACTTTATCTTATGCTACTCACCTTCGCAATGTTGATTCTAGATTCAGACTTCCTTTCTTTGTGTCCTCCCAAATTATGAGTGCCTTCCCACCATAGAGCCTTTATTCATGCTTCTCCTTCTGCCTGAAATGCTTGTCCTCTCCCCTACCTTGGACAAGTTGATTCTCGCTCATTCTTTGGCGGCCAGTTTATTTCTCCCTTTCTGAAAGAACCTTTCTGATCTTCTCTCCTGGATGAAGTTCCTGTGTTTTCTGTCCCTACATTCTCCCCCTTGGCAGCATTTATCACAGATCTAACTAAAATCACCAATTTTGCAATCAGTTGTTTGATACAAGATGGCGGAATCAATACTCCCTCTAGCTAACTTGTTATATATATACCTTATGTGTCCACTGAAAAGGAGACAGTTGTTGAATTTTATAGGTATTACGAGATTCTGGAGAACAGAGTGTTCATGAGCGGTGTTCTTAAGCCAGATCTCCTGGATTTGGTCAAATTCTAGCTTCAACACTGTGCAGCTGTGTGACTTTGGGCATGTGGCATAACCTCTCTGAGCCCAGGTCCCTCATCTGTAAATAGAGGCTACTAGGAGTCCATTCCTTAAGGGCAGTTGTCAGAATTACATGAGTAAAATATGTCAGTGCCTGGCACAGAGTGTATGTTAGTGTTGATGATAACAACCCTTATGATGAGTTCTACAACTAGTGATAATAATAGTATTTATCATCTTGAGAAATTCCGCCAGCTAGCTTAAAAGCATGTTGCTAGAGAGAATGAAACACATGTATTACATGATAACTTTGTTTTATTCCCAAGTTCTGTGACTATAGAATTGTCTGAAGCCTCAGTTTCCTCATCTGTAAAATGGGGCCAGCATTACCTACCCCAGAGAGTTGGTGTGAGCATTCAAGAAGCAGCCTCTCAAGCCTAGGTCCAGGCAATAGTAGGTGCCTGATGAACGTCCGTGGCCCGAGCACTGTAGACGCTGATTACTGCTTTCTCAGACACCACAGCTTGGGATGCCAGAGCTTTGGCTTGGGATCTGAGAAGCTGGACTGTGAATATGGATTCCAACAACAGCCCTTCAGAGAGCATTCTGCTTCTCTGTGATTTAAAATGAAACAAAACAAAAAATAATATTAGATGATCCAAGGTGCTGGTTTTATATGGCAGCTAATGAGATAGCAGGGCAAGTAACTGGAGAATGTATTGCTAACAGGCACAATAAATATAGCTATGATTATATATTAGCAGCCCTCAAGTGGCCCATAATGTAGTGAGTACATGTGAGGTCAAGAATGTGTTAGAAAACAGATGTTTGTTGTTAGTCCTTATAGACCACACTTTTTAGAAGAAATACATATGTGATGATTATGATCGGACATGATTGTAAGTGCTTTACAGATACTCAATTAATCCTAATAGACCTGGGAAGTAGGTATATATCATTAGTATTATTCCTACTTGGCATATGAGGAAACTGAGGCACCAAGCTCTCGAGTAATTTGCTCGAGAAAATAATTGAACTGGCATTTGTACACAGATGCTCTGGTACAAGTTTCCATGTTCTTAGCCACTATTCTATGCTAAAGTCACACGGAAGAAGATAATGACTGGAAACTGATAATTGAATGCAAAATACCCCCTTTCTCCTAAAAATGGGCCAGACCAGCTGTCCTTGGTCCTGCATTCTACAGGCCTTTCCATTAATGGAACTTGTTCTTGAACGTCAGCATTGGGAGAGTTGTAGACCTCAAACTGATGGACGCTTTCTAATGTCTTCGGTCTGCCATTGACACTGTGCCCCTCTAACACCCTTTCTCCTAAACTGATTTTCTTTTACCCTGTTGGAATGTGAGTAGTTTACTGTACCTGCTGAACGCAGGGTCTTAATTAGCCTTAATTTTTGAAGTCTGCAGCTGTAAACTGTGTTGAAAAGATTGAAAAGATTAGTGTACTAGTAATAAGATAATTGTCCCTGAGAAATGCTGTTAGCATGTAAACACAGTTAGCATGTGAAATCAGAACAACTGTAATATTTCCCTCGTTTGGTGTTTAAAGATGCTCCTGCATGAATAATTACAACTAAATGCAAAGTGCAGAAATGGGATGCTGCATGTTTTTCCTGTTATTCTTTCCTGCTTCTATCCCAGCTCAGAAATAAAACTGCTTAGTGGATTCTTGCCTGAAGCTAGCTTCCCCTCCCCCACAGCCATTTGAAATTAGTACCAGGAGTGGGGTAACTTAGAACAGGGAATTCCAGAATTAGGGATAGTCAGCAAACAAAATCTACAGATCCCATAGCAGCTTTCTTTTTTGGGGGGAGGGGTGTTGAATGAGAGAGACCACACATCATGCATACCTCTATGTACGTGTGAACACTCACAAATGTATGTGTACACACATGTGTATTCACACACACACACACACTCTCTCTCTCTCTCTCTCTCATATACAGAACTGGAGAAAACTAGCCATGGCTACACACAGCAAAAGCAGATGTGATAAACCTCATTTTACCTTTTTAGACCCAGAAAGGCTACAGTAAAATATGCTGCACCTGCCACCACGTGAGGTCCTTCCTTTCTTCTGTGGAGTTTTTGCATCCTTTGATAAGTTGGAACATGCTTTAATTTTATGAAGTCAACACATGTAATACCTTCCTAACAGACCATAGCTCATCGTGGTCCTGGTCCCTGGTCTTGGGGACTACGTATCCTATAAAGACTAACCTTTCTGCTTCCTCATCTCAGACATTAGCCAATCGGTAGGTTGAGCTTGTCTCCTGCTGTGTCATTTACACCCCAGACTCTTCTTTATAGGGAGGAGTTGCCTTGACTTGCAGTCAGGAAAACATCCTACAGCTCACAAGTTGGCTGAGTTCTCAGCATACATCTGTCAGATTCCACCTATAACATGACTTGGGTTTCAACTGATTTGGGTTCAACAAGAATTTACCAAGTGCTTTCTATGTGGCAGTCTCAGGACTTCATTAAGCGTAAGAACAGAGGAGATAGTCCCTGGTCTTGGGGAAGTGGGACACGTTGTTAAAAGAGTATATAACAGGGGCTGATGAGAAGACGGGACTCCCAACCCTATCCATGGGAGTCAGCTGTGCTCTCTGCCTTGTATTCCTGGGTTTGCATTCATAGGTGCTTCTTGAGTTAAATTATTCTTGGACTTTGCAGCCATGTTACTTTACAACCAGTCTATGGTTCATATCTGGTCCTTCTCTCTTAAGTTCAGGTCCTCCAGCTGAAAGTGCTGGGCTTAGCTTAGGACCCACTGAACCAGAGATTACAAACTCCAATGCCCACAGCAGCCACACCGGCAGCCATAATAAGTAAAGGACATGTGTCTGGGGCAGGGACCGTGGCAAGCTGGAGGGCCTGTGACCCTTCCGAGAGGGATAACTGCGTCCCAGTGCCAGAGAGGCAGTCTCTTAGGAAAATGCTGGATTTGTGTAGCCAGGTCTTCTGATTTTTCCAAAAAAAATGCCAGAACTTTGCAGTTTATGTGAAACGTCCTGAATGTGAAGCGTTGGCATGCTGTGTAGGTTTTTGTTGTTCTTTTGAAAACATTGTGCAGGCTGAACAAACTATGCCTGAGCTGAATACTGCTTGTAGATTCCAGTTTCTGTTGGCCACCTCTGCCGTCAGCCCATGAAGATCGTGTTCTCAAAGTGCTGGCTAAACAGAGGCCACTGCTGAGTCACTAGGGATGCTTCCTGCCACTTCATGAATGTGTTCAATTCGAGACCACACACTTTACCTTGCATCTTTTTCCTCCAGCTCTTTCTCATCCTGCCCTCCCCACAGATGTCTCAATGAAGTCCCTGGGAAAGTAACACTTACTATCCTGAATAGAGCCTACAGTTCCACCAAGCGTGGCATGCATGTGAGCAAGGGTCCCCCAACCCCGCCCCACCGCAGAAAGCGTGGAAATAAAAGTGGATCGTTGTAAGCTTTGGATCTGCCAAACGGGACTTAGCACAGTGACGTCTCCTGCGTGTTGATTATCAACTTGCTTGGGGGATCTCAGGCTCTTGCCTGACCTTGGCACGAGGTCTGGCAAATTTGGCTTTCTGGGTGTAGAATTGATCGTTTCAGAAACAAAGCCATTGAGACAGAGTTGAGGAGAGTCCTCTATTCATGGATGAAAGGAGCTCATTGTACAAAATCGGTGTGTCCTGGACCCCCTTCCTCTGGCCCCCTCCTCTCGTTCCCTTCCCCCACAGCTGGGGCTTTGTAAGGGGCTCGCAGGATGTTCTATCCCAGGCTGTACTTTCTTCCCATCTTCCTGTCTCTGAGGCTGCCCTGAACAGAAGGAGAGCTGGGCTTGGAGCCCCTGTGCACGTTTTTGGCTCCTCAGGCCAACTCTGTTGTCGTGGGTGATGAGAGCACTTCCTTCCGAGAGAGCTAGGAGAAAAACAGCCGTGCTGTTCACAGGCAGCTGCCCAAGGCGGCTGTGCAGGAAGAGAAGACAGTGGGTGCTAAGAAGCTCTTCCTGTTCTGCCTTCTGCACGGGCGCCTCCCTCCTGGGTCACGGCCCTGAAAAGTCAAGACCGTTGAGCTACAGGAAGACGATCCTGTGTGTATTAACCTCAGTGATCAACTTACGGATTGAGTTTTTCTGTTTCTGCTGTGAAGCCATGGGATCTCGAACTTTTCTGCTTGAGATTGGGGGGTGAGGGTTGGAGTCATGTTCATTGGGTAACATGGTACCTTCCTTTGTGGGGCAGGGGTAAGGTATGGTGGTGAACGGATAGGGAGGTTATAAACTTGGGTGCTTTCAGGGCTCAGCCCAGGTGGGTAGGGTGGGGTGGCGGCAAACGGAAGGGGATGTGCCTGCCTTAAGTGGACCTGCTCACCCAGCGGGTCAGATCTTTCCACGTTTCACGAAAAGCCACAAATCAGAATATCGTGAATTCACCCTAAATTTTAAATGCTGGCACCTAGTTTTAAAACGTAATTGTTCAAAAATTAGCCAGGCTTAGTGGCGGGCGCCTGTAATGCCAGCTACTCAGGAGGCTGAGGAAGGAGAGTCGCTCGAACCCGGGAGGTGGAGGTTGCAGTGAGCCGAGATCACGCCACTGCACTCTAGCCTGCGTGACGAGCAAAACTCCATCTAAAAAAAAAAAAAAAGGTATTTTTGTGCACCATGCAGATCATACCATACCACATCCAAGCATTCTGGTTACCTTTTTTTCTTTTTTAAAAAAACGTCTCTGAAGATACTAAGGTTAAATGGGCCTGGCTCTGTGGCTTTCCACCAAGTCTTGAAACTCTCTGAGCCTCAGTTTCTTCCTATATACATTAGGAACAGTACTACAGGGTATTCATAATCCAGGAACAAGGAAATACGTAACGTCATCAAGAGAAAAAGCAAACTGGACACAGTGACTCATACCTGTAATTCCGGCACTTTGGGAGGCCAAGGCAGTAGGATCACTTGAGACCAGGAGTTCAAGACCAGGCTGGGCAACATAGGAAGACCCCATGTCTACAAAAAGATGAAATATTAGCCAGGTGTGGTGGCACAGGCCTGTAGTCCCAGCTGCCTGGGAGGCCGAAGTGGGAGGATTGCTTGAGCCCAGGAGTTCAAGGCTGTGGTGAGCCATGATTAACACCACTGCATTCCAATCTGGGCAATAGAGTAAGACCCTGTCCCTGCCTCCCTGCCTGCCTCCCTCCTTTCCTTCCTTCCTTCCGTAAAAACCGAAAAAAATCATCTGTCTTTCCAGTCTTTATGGCCTTCCGGGAACAGCCACTTCATGAGGATGGAATGTGGGTTTATTGAAGTAATACCCATAAAGGGTTAATTATGGTATCTCATAAGGACTTAACCAATGATAGCGGTATACGGGACACTGTCATCAAGGCTGTCATCTTCATTGTCACTATCTTTTCATTAAGAAATATTGCAGGAGGTTGAGGGGACAGGCTGCAGGCAGAATCGGTCCCCTGCTGAAGTTTCTTTCTGACTCTACCCTGACCTAAATGGAGAGGGCCCATCTGTCCCCTGCAGGCCTACCTGCCAGCCTGGTGTTCTCAGCATCTCTCTTCTGGCCTAGGAAGGCAGCTCCACATCCCGAGCTGTAGCCTGGGACTGCAAAGCTCTCCACTCCCCACCTCCTGGGATAGTTTTTTCCGCCCCCACCCCATGGTTTGTGTCGGCAGTTCTGTGTGTGGCCTCTTGGAGACATTCCAGACGCGAAGCGCTGCTGAATCACAGTTTTCCTGTATCTTCGAACAAAAGATGTCCTGGTCAGAGGCTCTTGTGAAGGAGCGAAAGAGGAGGAAGTGAAGAAAAGCAGGGAGGGGTGTGTATAGAAATTTATTTTGGCGAAATGGGATGAACTCCAGATTTGGTATAAAAAAACTGAAATTCTGCACTGAATTCTAATCCAAACTGTGTGTGGCCCTTAGGAAATAGGCCTTTCCTCCTGGATCTCCCATGCCTTGGCAGACAGTGATGGGTTTGATTCAGGTCAGGGATGGACATTTAGGGAAACTGGAATCTATTAATAATATCTGCTCCTCGGGCCGTATTGAGAATTTGAGGCCAGGTGGCCTGCTTAGTAATAGCTGCCTCCGGCACCTTACTGTGAAGTCGCTGCATACCTGGTCTCTACCTCTAAGTACTTTCCTTGAACTCACAATTTTGGATTCTGGAGCTCAAATCTGAACTGTTTTCCTGTGGAATAGAGAACTCGCCCAGCAGTCCCAGAAGCCACATAGTATCATTGGAACTCCAGACAATGTCTGTGGGACACTTGGCAGTATTGGTTCCAGTTGGGCTACCTGCCATCTTGTGACCACAGCAAGTGGGTGCAAAATTGATAGGTGCTGCGGCCTGCGCCTGGGAAAAGCTAATTATCGGGCTGAAGTATAGATGTGGCTTGTTTTCCCAGCTCCAGGAGGATGTGTGTTCAAACGCAGCCTGGGTGGCCGCCTTCAGAAAGATTTGCAGCATGGTGGGATTTAGCCAGTACTTCTTGTCTGGGCCGTCTAGGGTAAAGGCTGCCTTCTTGGCACATGGCAGGTCTTGTTTATGGTCTGAAATGCCTCGGAGCTGTGAAAAGCAAAGCACTGTAAAGTGTCACCAATTGTCTTCTAAGAGGAACTAACTTTGGTGGCCCACCCACTGTCAGGACTGAGCCAGGCTCTGGTTGAACGTCTCAGTCAGTGCTCCACAAAGACTGTGAGATGATGTTGGTGATTATTATTACCTTTAACCACTGGAACAGGCGAAGTAGTCAACCTGAAGACTCGCAGCAAGGAGATGAGAACCTCTGGTATGAGGAGCATCTGATCCAATTCAGTGTTCCTTATGGCTTCGTAGCGCCAGATGCTGATAGAACCATGAACTGTGGTTTAGTGTTTCCAATTCATGACATGGTTGTACCACTGGGTAGCAGTGTAGCTTAGTGGTCCAAAAGAATGCCCTGTTTCAAATCCCGCCTTCACCACCCACTAATGAATGACTTTGAAAAAATTACTTCTCCTCTGAGCCTCAATTGCACCATCTGTAAAAGGGGGCTTTTGATGCCTGCCTCCTAGAGTTGTTGTAAGGTTTATTTGTTTGTTTTAAGACACAGTCTCTGTCACCCAGGCTAGAGTACAGTGGCGTGATCTTGGCTCACTGCAGCCTCTGCCCCCAGGGTTCAAGCTATTCTCGTGTCTCAGCCTCCCGGGTAGCTGAGACTACAGGTATGCACCAACACATCCAGCTAAGTTGTGTGTTTTTAGTAGAGATGGAGTTTCAGCATGTTGGTCAGGCTGGTCTTGAACTCCTAACCTCAAGTGATCCGCCCGCCTTGGCCTCCATGGGATTATAGGCGTAAGCCACCACACCCAGCCAGTTGTAAGATTTAAATGAGATAGTATTTGCAAACCCCTTACAGTAATACCTGGCATTCAGTGTGAGAACAGTGTTAGCTGGTATTTTGATTGTTGTCAATATTGACTAGCTATGTGACCTTAGGCAATTTGAATTAATAATGGGGGTGAAAAGTTCTGTTGCTCGCAGTAGCCAGGCCAGCTACTCAGTCTGGAGCTGTTTTCTTGCAAGAATACATATCCAGTGTTGCTAAATCTTCTGTTCTTAAAGGAGAAGTGAGAAATCTGGATTTGCATGTGAAGTATCCTGGTTTTAAAACATTGGCAATGATTCATAAAAAAAGGATGAGGTCGTGTCCTTTTGTAGGGATATGGATGAAGCTAGAAACCATTCTGAGCAAACTATCGCAAGGACAGAAAACCAAACACCGCATGTTCTCACTCGTAGGAGGGAATTGAACAATGAGAACACTTGGACACAGGGTGGGGAATGTCACACACCGGAGGCTGTCATGGCGGGAGGGGGAGTGATAGCATTAGGAGAAATACCTACTGTAAATGAAGAGTTAATGGGGCAGCACACCAACATGGCACATGTATACATATGTAACCTGCACGTTGTGCACATGTACCCTAGAACTTAAAGTATAATAATAAAGAAAAAATGGCAATGATTTCAAGTATTTCATCAAGGCCAAAGGCCGAAATAAAAAGCAAACCAGCTTGAAGCAACCACAGGCCACCAGTTGGGCACTCCTGTCTTAACAGTCTGTAGCTCACGCCTCTGATCTTTTCAGGTAGGTTTCTTCAAAACCTTGTAATTCTAAGATGGTAATTCTGTGTGCTTTTTAAAGAATTACAAAACCTCTCGAGGCGCACACAGAACAAAGTATTATATACAGGAGTTTAGAATTTTGATAACCATTTGTGCTCAAGGATACACATACCAGGCTGGAGAAGTGTTAAAATAATTCCTGAGTTTCCACGAGTCTGTGGTTTCTCTATCTTCCAAGGCTGTGGGTGATTAATTACCATCTCCAAGGGCCTAAGCTTCATTTTCAGGTTCTACTGCTCATTTCTGAGGTCTGGGCTGAAAAATATTGAATTGAATGTAAGATAGCAAAAAAGACCAACTTTTTAAACTTTTAATAAAAAAGAGAGAGAGCGATACACACAGTTTTAACTGCCAACATTTCTGTAAAACATGGAGAATCCCCTTGTTCTCTCTGAGGAGTTTCTGTTTTCTCCTCCGAGTCCTATTTGAAGGTGAGTTCCCATTTTCCAACAAGATGAGGGCTGTGTGATTCTGGCCTGCATTCACATTCCACATGCAGCCTTTTTAAGAGAACAGGGATACTTCTGTGTCACTGGCATCCCTCCCTCATCACCCCATGCCGCCTGCCCTGCACGTGCCCAGCCTTCATCTTAGGAGCCACTGTGAAATCCCATGGGGACATCTGAAGAGAAAGCCCTATTATGCAACACCTTGGTTGCTGCAATGAGGCCCGAAGAAGGAGGACTTGAAAGAGTCCCACTTCCCTCGGGAGGAAATGCTGGAAAGAGGAGGTTGGTAACCAGGTTTTTAGGGCACGGCAGATCCCTTCACCAAAGTGGGGAAAAGGGAGCACTTTGCACCCGTCCTGGAAATTTCAGGGGGGTGCAGAGCATGAACACCAACACTCAAGAGTTTCATGCATGTGTCCGACACTCGATGGCTGGCTGGGGATCAGAAGCAGGAATTGTATTCTTTGTCACTTTGGAAGCTTTTTCAGCCTTGCATTACGCATGGTATAGTTTAGGTAGCATGTGGAGGCTCTTGGGTTCAGTGTACATAAGAATCCCCCAAGGGCGTTTAATAAAAATGTAGATTCCTTGGACCCTTGCCCAGAGATTCTGATTCGGTAAGTTCATACTTTTGATTAACACCAGGATATCAGTTAAAAGAGTAGTTTCTGGTAACTGACAAACTTGCTTACTGTTCCTGGCTCCATTCCTGATTAGCCCTGTGTTTTTGAGCAAATTATTCTCTGAGAGTATCAGTTATCTGATCAATAAAATGGGGATCATGATACCTCCCTTGGCAGGGTTGCAGGAATTTCATATGCTTGGCACAAAGTAAGCATTCAAAACGAATTAGGTAAATGTGCTCATTTCGCTGCCGTCACATGACATGGGTTGCACTCGTGTCTACGGCAGCTTGCAGTTCAAAAGGCTTGTGGTTTAGTAGGGTTGAGTATAGAGGGATATGTCTCAGCCCTTGTAAGCCTGGAGGAAGAAATCAAAGAGAAAATCATTTTTGAGGTTGTAACTATGTACAGTATCTACTTTTATTTAATGTTCATGACAACTCATGATGTCAGTGGTATCCCGTGTTCAAGACAAGGAGGAGACCTTAGGGTTTGCTGGGACAGTCTGGGTTTATACCTGTTAAGCTTGTGTAATTATTAATAGTGTCCCTTACGAAAAGGTCTCAGAAAATCTGTTTTCCACTTTAACAGTAGCTGTGTTGGCAAGTGTAATCCTACCTGTTTATATAGTGTCAGTGAGAAAAATAAAGTGCACAGAAGCTGAGGACTTTGCCCAAGGTCACAAGTGGTGCTAGGTGGTGGTTATGGACTGAATTGTACCCCTACCCTAATTTCATATGTTGAAACTCTGCCTCCCCCAGTACCTCAAAATGTGACTATTTGGAGATAGGGCCTTTACTGAGGTGATTAAATTTAAGTAATGGTGTCCTCATCCAATCTGACTGGTTTTTTTTAATAAGAAAAGGAAATTTCAGCCAGGCCTGGTGGCTCATGCCTTTAATCCCAGCACTTTGGGAGGGTGAGGCAGGCAGATCACCTGAGGTCAGGAGTTCGAGACCAGCCTGGCCAACATGGCAAAAGCCTATCTCTACTAAAAATACAAAAATTAGACTGGAGTAGTGGCACACAACTGTACTCCTGGCACTTTGGGAGGCTGAAGCAGGTGGATCATTTGAGGTCAGGAGTTCAAGACCAGCCTGGCCAACATGATGAAACCCCATCTCTACTAAAAATATTCTAAACAATTAGCTGGGCGTGGTAACAACCACCTGTAATCCCAGCTACTTGGGAGGCTGAGGCATGAGAATCACTTGACCTCAGGAGGCGGAGGTTGCAGTGAGCTTGGATTGTGCCACTGCGCTCTGGTCTGGGCCACATAATGAGACTACATCTCTGCCCTCCCAGAAAAGAAGAGGAAATTTGGACACATAGATACCAGGGATGCATAGAGAAAAGACTGTGTGAGGAAACAGTGAGGAGTGCACCATGTGTACA